TGCAATATAAAATGCTACTATCTGATATTTTTTATCTTAAAGGACTTTATGGCTTCTTTAAAATATTAAATTCTTTTAGTATCTTGGAAACAACATGAGAAACAAACAAATAAACAAACACAAAACAAATCAAAACCAACAACCATTGTAGAACATGCTGTAAAAGTAAAGAAAAAAATTTTCAAGCTAGTTTTTCCATTGAAGGATAGGCACTGTTTCCCATTGCTCTAAACAGATACATACTGCTTCACTAGTAACAATCTACAGCAACTCTTTTGAAGTCAATATTGTTAAACAGCTGTAAAATCAATTTCACTGAAATAAAATCCTGATTCATCCTGTCCATGCCTTCGACCCTGTACTACATTTAGTTCTCATGCTCACTTCATTTTCTCACTATTACTAACAGGGTACTAAGTATCTCAAGTACTACAGACTGGTAATCAGTGGTAGATGTAAGATCTTCTTAGTGCTGACTATTGACTGAACTGTAGCAAATGTAGTCAGCATGCATGGTGTGCTCAGAGCCACACAAGTCGGTAGGCTAGAGATCTGACAGCTAGCACAATACTCATTCCTCTAGAGCATATTGCGAACATCCTATAAATATTCACTTCACTTTAAAAAAAGTCTTTTCTACCAATCAAGGCAGTGTATGAAAATAATTCCATCTCTGTGCTGCATGCATCATGATTATGGATGTGCTGAAGCACCAATAATCAATCTCAGTTACTGGAGAAATTGTTGTCACTTGCTACTCGTAGTCATGCAAAGTGTTATACAAAGAAGCAGAACTAATGCAGCTTGATTTTCATAGAGGTGTTATTGGACATGAAGTACTGAGAGGCTATATATTATGATATGAACACAAGCTGCTCCATGCTGTTCATTCAGCTGTGTTTTTGCAAATGATTATGAAAGTAAAATACAAGGTATGTCACTGTTCTACAAGCTAGAGTAGGGCTTTGTGCCCATTTTCATGCACTAATCCAAGAAGCTTGCAGAGGTGACATTATCAGGCTTATTTCTTCCTCTCAGTGAACTGTTTTCTTTTTGCTGGTACTAGCTTAAAATGATCCAATCCATATTCTATGAAGCTGACATCTCTTTCTCAGTTGTAAGAGTCAGCTGGCAACAAAACAGTTCAGAGGCATAGAGAGTGTCTGTATTAAACACAACAACCAAGGGTTCATTTGCATCCCATTTACCTTGGGGAAAATGCAGCTCAAGTTTAATGTTAAGCGCACGCTTAGTGTTTTGTTGATTTTCAAAACACTGAAAAGGCTGCTTTCTCGACAGCAAATAGAAGGTTAAAACTCAATGTGTGCTGCTGAGTCAGTTTCCAGTGAGTACAAAATAAATTTCTTTGAAGGGCGAAAAAAATCTACTAAGTCTGCACCTCATGTCCAAGGTTTTCTTACACCTAGAACTTTTAATCTGAAAAAGGCTGAACTGTGTTATGAATGGTATGACATAACCCGTGCAGTTATACAGGGTCTTCTCAAAATCTGATATTTCCATTTTGAACCTATATTTCTTAGGCTAAAGATGAAAATAATCATGTTATTAAACTGCCACTTCTGTGCATTAGGTTGTTCTTGACTACTTTAAATGTTTCTCAACAAAGGTTGCAATGTTTTTCTTTGGGATTTTTCTTTTTATTGTCATTAGCGTATTATTCAACAGTATACCTGTGTCATCACATCATTTTCAATGATGTTGAGTTTAGCTGAAAACTAGCAGTAAGAAAAAATTGTATCATAATTATTTTGTTAGTTTCACGTGCCGAAAAGGAAAATATATGTAGGTCGGTCTGAAAGCAATGCCTCTTTATTTATTTCCATGGAAACAACAACAGATAAAAAGAGTACAATAATGCTATTTAATAGAGCAAGTTCTCAGTTACAAAACACTATTTTTTTTTACAGTCACCACCATTAACTATACATGTTTGCCAGCCATGAACAAGAGCCTGCATGCCGCTCTGATAGCAGTCTTCATGGCTGTCCCAAACAGGGCTTGTCTTTCACATCACTATTGCTGCTGCTGAAACGTAGTACCTATTTCCTTGCTGTGCTTACATCCGTTTCATCTCCATAAACATTCAACAAGTGTCAATGAATGTCAGTGGGTGCCATTTTTCCATGTGGAGGAATTCAGTGACACACCTTCTCTTCATGTATACTCCCATGTCAGATGCCATTCTTTCTGACTGTCCCCTCTGCTGTCCTCTGTTGTATAACAATAACATGTAATGGAATAATGGTGGGAAAAATTATCCTCTACTGCCATACCACCATCTACCTCTGACAGCATGGGCCAACATAATAAGGAAGGAGGTGTTCGTTTCAGAGCAGCACTTCGAATTACATTTTTTTTTCCCCCACTTTTCATGTTTACAGCATTGGTGTCATTAATTTCTCCACACCCTGGAAGTATGCAGGCTTATTTGCAACATCTTGTAACAATAATGAACAATAATGGTATTACTCAAAAGCAGTTTTGTCTCATGTGTAAAATGCCTAAAAGGAACACTTGCAAAAATGCGAGAAATGTGAATTCTGTTTCCATCAGCTTGGTAGCAGTGACAAGGAACCTTACCATTACTCTTCATAATGTACTTGCTATAGATACTGTGCTGCAATTTCCCTCACTTTGCTTCATTGATGCCCAAGCTTTCCTTGAACCATGATTTTTGTCTAGAGAGTTGAGATCAGGTGAGTGTGGAGTGGAGATGAGTAAAGCAAAGCTCCCTTTGTCATAGTGCTTTTCCTTTTAGGATTTAGGATTCAAAATTTTTAAAGTAGCATTGTCTGAGTTACATCTTTTTGGTGCCATTCACAATGGGATACTTCTATTTGAAATGGGTAGTTGAACTTCAGTGTTTAGTGTAATTTATAACACAAATCTGAAATGAAGTATGTACTGAAGTATTTCAAAAGAGGGATTTTGATTTAAAAAGAGCAAATGTCTGGCAGTTTATCAAACTGCTCCAGTTTACCTTCATACAGGAGGAGAGTGGCTGCTTTCATATTCACTAATCCCCAAATAACCATCAAGAAATATTAAAATACACATTTTATTAGTTTCATTTAATTTCTTAATTGCTCAAATTCAGTTTACCAATTTATTGCTGTGTGAAATGCTTAGAGGCAATGCGTACATTAAAGGGATTATTTACATGTAATCCCTCCCTCCCAAAGGATACAAACTGATCATTTATGAATCCTGATTTGTGCTCTGTTACAATACAAGATGAATGAAATAGTTACTGTAGGTAGGATAATGTAGCTCCTGGAAGTATAATACTGCGTGGAGTACAACTTAGTACTCGTTTGCTTGGTACATTTTATTAAAGGTGCATGAACTTCCTTTTTAGAATTTGGATGAGCCAAACAGAAACTGCTTGCTGCAACTGAACCATTTATTTTGTGGGAGTACATGCAAACAAGACATTACATTTAACCTTGGGGAGAAGTCTATTTTAAAATGTAACCCATGTTTTATTTGGGGTGTGGATTATTTTTGGCTAGGGTTATAATTTTACAAGAAAGAGATTTATAATTAGATTTAAGATAATTGGCAGGGATTTGCCATTAAGATGCAGACTTGCAGCTTGCTCCCTGCCTGTGGATATCGCTGTAGGTATCTGTTTGCCAGCCAAAAAGTGTGAAACAAGATGTAAAGGAGAAACAAAAACCTGAACCACTTTGAGCCAAAAGGAATAAAACTTTAAGTATCTCTAAGTAGTCTCTAAGTATTTTAGAAAAGGAAACATTTTTTTAACCTGCAGCACACTCATTGTGCACCACTGCAGAATGATGGCATTCACCACTGTTTTAACAGAGCTATTAAACTTCTCAGTGTTATCCCAACCTCTTCTCATTACCAGACATACCTTGCTGTATTTGAAAAGTTCACATTCTGAGAGCATGACTATATGGACTAGCATGACAGTGGAACTTAAGAAAGGCAATAGTCTGTAGCCTTAAAATCAAATACCTGAAGCCTGAAATGTCTCCACCACTTAAGAAAAGGACTATTCTGCATTTCAGCTTGTTTAGAATTTCCCCACAGTCTTTACTGAGGGATTTCTACATGCTTTACTCTCATCTCCCCACAGAGTGTAGTTTCCTTAGATTGACAAATACAGAATAATTAAGTATTTAAGGAGATGCATATTCTCTTTTTTATTAGATTGAGATGGAATAAGCTGACACAAGCAAAAGAAAACAGTTTGCCAGTCCACATCTTCCCTGACCGTTCTTATACCCAGCATTCTTGTCAGATTATTGAGTGTATGAACTTCATTGATGAAAAATTACATTCATGCATAAATTCCTAAATTCTGTTGCACAGCTTTAAAAAAATATCTTCTACCTCATACAGGTTTTTATATATATGTATTTATAATAGTATAATGGAGTATTATGAAAATGAGCTTTTTTCCCATTAATTTTTGCAGCTTTGTTTATTTATGTTTCAGAGATAGTAATTGTATCTGCACACCTATGGCTGAGCTGAGATCTGCATGCTAAGCAGGCTTCCCTAAATATTTTTTGATATATATATATGTGCACACATACATGCATTCTCGCCACTATAGTTACGCAATGTCATTAAGTCATATAGATATGTTTGCGCTTTTAAATATTTATACATTTGGTGTAACAAGCATAGGCTGGTGCTCATGCCATTTTCTTTTATTTTATTTGCATTACTTCACAGGAAAGAAAAATAATCACACCAGTTCCTAAATGAATGCTGTTTGTCTTGTCAAATTGAGCATCTTTGTTTATAATGACAGGAATGCTATATTC